TTCGTAACCTCCATGCATGTGTAACCCCTTCCTCATTAGTTTCCTACACTTGCACAAAGTCTTGAGTGGATTTGGAGGCATACTTTGTGTTTGACTTGAACGTGGCTATTGTGTGTCTTCTGTTGTAGCACAAATTCCTCTGTTGACATGCCTGTGAGATTGCGGTAAGAAATACTGTACACATATTCCAATTCTGAGTGAGCCATAGCTGCTTCTGAATTTACATAGCTGTGGCTCGCTGTGTCACATGTGTCTGAAGGGCTGGATTGAGCCGCATGTTAGCAGCTTCTATAGATGCGTGTGTTATTTCCGGCCACATTTGAGTGATACATATGTAGCCCATGGAATCTGCAACTATACTGGCATCTTCAATCAGTTGAAAGGTTTTTTTTCTCTTTCCTTGATCAGGCAGGAGACAGATCTTTGGCCAATGTAAGTATAGTTTTTAGTTCTATATGTATGTATAACGCATATTTGAAGACCTGCTCTCAATTTGTGCTGTAACCCAAATGGTACAGTAGGTAATGCGATGGTTAATTCAGAGTGACAAGTACAGAAGTTCTGTTAATAAAATAATTTGTAAACAAAGATGTTTGTGTGTTACATCTTTTGTTTAGAAATTCCCTCATATATCAGATAAGCAGCAAAGTTAATATATTCCACGTTGCTGAAAGTTGTCGTAGAAAACAAGTATTTTGGGGGAGCGTCATGCAATTAATCTTTATAAAGTTGTAAATCTTGTTTCACCAGCTCTCAGATTTAAGCATTTAGGTGTTGCAATAGTTTGGATCCCATTCTACCCAACTCAACAAGCTATTGGTTCTTGTCATAACATGAAATTTGGAGACACTCCCCTCTCGTTAATTAAGCCCGCATTATTTGCACTCAACTGGCTGCAGGTTGTTGCGCATGAGATCAGTCACAGCTGGACGGGCAATCTGGTCACCAACTGCAGCTGGGAACATTTCTGGCTGAACGAAGGCTTCACCGTCTTTGCAGAGAGGAAGATTGCCGGCAGGATGCACGGGGAGAAGGAGAGGCACTTTGAGGCAATTGGTGAGGGGAATTTAATGGGGATGTTGTAACAGTATGGGTGCGGTGTGGTGTGGGTGTGGTGTGGTGTGGTATGGGTGCAGTGTTGGTGAGTTTGTTTCTGCATTCAATT